TATATATATATATATATATATATATATATATATATATATATATAGTACTTTTTGTAATAAATTTAAATAAAATGTGTTACTTAGATATCTAAACAATTTATAAATTCAAATATTTAAATTAATTGATAAATAATTTATAATTTTCTATTTTATTTAAATATGTAATTTTATTAAATAATTTTAAATATAACAAAATTTATTTAGAAAATCGTATCGATCCTACCAGTCTAACCGACTGGTGTTGACGGATTTGAGAGAAAATATTTTATTCAAGCGAACTAGACTGGTTATAATCCGGTTCTCGGTCCATCCGGTCGGACTGCGTCCAACCCGGTTTAATTTTAAAACAATAGATAAATCAATACTAATGTTATTTATATATTTAATTTATAATACAATCGTAATATTATTTTCCCGTGTATCGCACGGGCCACGCATTAGTCTTAAAACCGTCTTCCCATATTTATGAATGTATTTTATTTCTTAATTTTTTACTGCAATCAGTTTCCGTATTTATTTTGGTAAGCTGATTTCATGCGTTTTTCTAGTTATTTGCAAAATATTTCGTACTCATGCTAAATAATTTGCATGTCTCATAATTGTACAATATTTTAAAAAACGGCTGACACACATGTAAATTAGCCAAAATAATAATACCCATCCACCTATCTGTGGGCTTGGAAAGAGCTCATCCCACCCTTCCTCCCAAAAGACACTCAGCCCAACCCATTAGGGTTTTAATTTCCTCCAATTACATGTATAAGTTAACCTAGGGTTTTCCGATTCAAAGTTTGTTGGCCTCCACACCATCTGTTCTGCGTTAGAGGGGGAAAAACACAGAGAAAATGAAGGCCATTCTCTCGTCTGACAGCATGGACATCCCCGACGGCGTGAAGATCAAGGTGAACGCCAAGGTGATCGATGTTGAGGGCCCGAGGGGTAAGCTCTCTCGCAACTTCAAGCATTTGAACCTCGATTTCCAGCTGATAAAGGACGAGGCCACCGGAAAGCAGAAGTTGAAGGTCGATGCCTGGTTCAGTAGCCGGAAAACCACCGCCGCCATCCGCACAGCCCTCAGCCACGTCACCAATCTGATCAACGGTGTTACAAAGGGCTACCGTTATAAGATGCGTTTTGTCTATGCCCACTTTCCGATCAATGCTTCCATCACCAACAACGGGACCGCCATTGAGATCCGTAACTTCCTCGGCGAGAAGAAGGTATGCGAGATTCTAGTTTGTTTATCTTTGTGTATTTCGTATTGGGTTGAAAGTTATTGTTTGTGAATTTACCTTGTGAATTATTTATTAATTATTTGGTGTTGGATGTTGACTTAACTGGATTTCATGTTTTGAACGGGACTCTGCTGGAAAGTTCTTTGTTTCTTCAAACTACTGAGAAGCAACTGAAATGTTCAAGGAAATGCTATCGTTTATGTATGGCAATATTCATATTTTCCACTGTCCATGCTGTAATTTCATAGATTATAACTATTAGTGACATCTAACATTTTGGGTACATGTTTACTGTTGTAATTCTTTTGACTACTGATCTGAACCCAACTTAACTTTCTGGGATACTTGTGTTGTGTGATTGAGTATTAGATTTTTGTATGTCAAACTTTTATTAATTTGTGATACCTGCATAAAGTAGGTAAGGAAGGTGGATATGCTTGAAGGAGTTAACATTTTCCGGTCTGAGAAGGTTAAGGATGAGTTGGTTTTGGATGGAAATGACATTGAGCTCGTTTCTCGTTCTGCGGCCTTGATAAATCAGGTATAAATGTGATACTGAATTGAACTTTTTCTTATTACATGTTACCTTATGTAAAATGTAATCTAATGGTTTTGTTCGTTTCGACAGAAATGCCATGTGAAGAACAAAGATATAAGGAAGTTCCTTGATGGCATATACGTGAGCGAGAAGGGTGCTATTGCAGAGGAGGAATAAGTTACCAACTATGAGTTTATCATTGTTACATGGTTTCAATTTTGAAATGTGGTGCCCTGTTTTTAAGTCTTGTTGTTTTGAGACTTCTTATAGATGTATTCCATGCTGAATTTACAGTTTTGCGTAGGGAGCTGTGCTTAAGGATTTGTTAGTTTGCATAGTGTGTTATGGTCATTTGATGTTAGAAACTGTTTTGCCTATGCAAATGCTAGTTGCCTTTAATCTCCCCTAGCATTTCTTGACTTTGAATCGTTTCTAAATTGGAGAGTTTTCTTGACTATCAGTGGCTAGCCTCTGTTGATGTTTACTAGTTTTGAATTTGATTAATGTCGTGTATATAGTACTAGCGGCACAGCCGGCCCATATTGTTTCATTAAAAAGATTAATGTAAAATGATTGATTAATTTTTTTAAATTTAACGTTAATTAATTATGTAAGAATAAATGACGAAAAATAATGGTATATGTCTATTGGGTTTCATTGCATACAATAATAGGTCAAATACAAAAATTCTCTTTGTTTTTAAGCCCAATAAGGTTGTGTTTGGTAAGCTAAATAAGCTAGCTTATAGTTTATTTGGTTAGCTTATAAGCTCATTATATTCAAATAACCTCGTTTGGTAGGACGAACTTTTTAAAAAAGCTCAAGTTTATCTCATAAGCTACTTTAGGTAGCTTTCAAATAAGCTAGTTGATTTTTTTATTTCAGCTAGTTTATCAACTAATTTACCAAACACTTTTATCATATACTAGTTTTTCAGCTTTAAGTCATAAGTTATAAGCTATAAGCTAAAAAATTACAAATAAGTTATAAGCTAGCTTATCAGCTATCAGCTAGCTTATCAGCTAGTTTTACCAAACATAGCCTAAATGTCGACAAGTAAAATAAATGAGAGGCGTTCATATCATGGACGAATATCTCGAGGAACAAACATTTTAGTTCTTTCTGTAATATAGTCGTAGTTCATCTGGGAGAAAGAAGCCGAAGGTTGGAGGTCGTAGGGTTGAAATTTAATTTACAGGCATGACGTAATTTTTTTTCCCTGAGGGTTAAGATTTGATTGTACATGGCGTCTTTATTTAGGCTGTCTATTTATGTTTGATTAGTGTTTTTGGTGTAAAAAAACGTGGTTTTGATTTCGAATTTGACGATGTCGTGGTTCTTAATTCTGTTATGTTTTTTTTTTCTTTTGCCTACTCAGGCAAAAGTTTTTTGTTTTGTAATGATATTTGTGAATTAATTTATTTAAGTTTTGCAGAATTAATTTCAAAAAAGTGAGATCCATTCTAGAAAATTATTTTGTAATTGGATAATAATAAAAAATAATATATTGAAACAATAAATAATATATGGCACTAAATACACCACATCAATTAGCGTCAACCTTATATACATGAAACTGATAAATCAAAGTAATCAACTAATGATCAAGAATGGGGTAATAACTTGTTATAAAGATTTTAGTTTCTTATATGATAATTCCTCCTATTTTTAATAAGTGTAGTTTGGAAAAGTTGCACAGTAATTAAGATTTTCTTTTATCAATAATAACCCTCATTGATGCGGAAAGATATGGATGTTTTGAGAAAATATAAAGAGTGAATATTAAAAGACGTAATGTATTTATTAACTAAATAAGGATAATAATGAAAAAATATGTACAAAAGATCCAAAACGTCATTTATTTGGTTGATCATTGATAAAATCAAAATGACATTTAAAAAGAATTGGAGGTAGTACTTGTTTTTGTATCATCTCTAGCAACATAACATTTTTTTTCTTCGATAGAATTACATAAAAAGCAAATAAGAACATGACTCATAGTAGATTCCTAATTTGGTCAATTTCGTTCCAACCTATCATTTAGGATCTCAAATCATAATCATGTGTTCAATAATGAACACTTGTTTAAATATATTGGTTCACCTTATCCAAAGGTTCCTTCTCGTCAACTTCATTTGCAGCAGCTGCCTTGTCCCATCAACTGCAAGAGCATCCTCTCCTGAGGGCTTCTCCACATCCACCGTTTTCCTTTCATTGACAACTTTATGGTCACTCTAAAATAACAAAGACAAAAGTTCATAGCCACGGACGTAAAAGAAACATATAAATTTATGGCAGTGCATCAACGAATTCTATCTCAACAAATGGAATACTCACTACGTGAGTTCATCTGCGTTCCCCAGTTACCTCAGTCAGCTCCCTTGCGTTTGATCTCATTTTTGTTCATAAAATAGGTAAGCAACTTAGAATATGGATCCAGTACTATAAAAAGTTCATGCATAAATAACATATGCCCTGCAAGCATGATCACGGAATTCTCCAACATCTTAGATTATGTGAAACCTTTACCATTTTACCAGAAGGCGTTGTGTGGGCATTACGACTGCTTTCGCACTCATAAACTTGTTGGAGGATGCCACTTTGCCATATTAATCATGAATATCACTTGGCTAAATCACCCAATTAACAAATATTAGAGCCCATAAAAGTAGGGCTGGTATTTTTTGACCGAAAACAGATAACCGAACCGAACCGATGTGAAAATAACCCAAACCGAACCGAACCATGTATAACGGTAACCAAAAATCGGTTACCGAAATGTTATCGGTTCGGTATCGGTTCCAAACCCATAAGGGTTGTTTCACCGAACCGAACCGATAACAAATATATATATAAAAAAATATTAAAATAGTGCTTTTGAATATGTATTAGTTAAATAAAATAATTTGGTTTTAAAAATTAATTAATCTAAGAAAAAACTAAAAAAGACGGATAACATTAAAAGAGTGAACAGATTAGGGGTGGACAAATTTCAATCACCTCCTTCAGTCCTTCGTTCACCAATATTCAATTCAGCTCACTTCAGATTTAAATCAGATCGCCGTTCACACCCTCACGGCTTCACGGCTTCGTTCATCAATCTGTCGTTCATTAGTCGTTCACGGTTCACCTCACCTTCGATCGCCTCCTTCACCAACACACCTTCACCGCTTCATGGCTTCAGCTTCAGCGACTCACCTTCGTGTCAGCCGTGCCCCAGGTAATGATCTGTTTATTTGGCATTTTTAGAGCAATCTGGAAAAAATTAACTTAAGATAAGTTAAACTGATTTTGTATCCCCTTCAATTTATGTTGGTGTTTTGTTACATGGCTGCTGTTGTTCAATTTATTTGGTGTTGTGATTGGTAGTCAATTTATTTTGTGTTGTGATTGGTATTCAATTCTTTTGTAGCCATGTTTTGATTGGCTGTTGCTGTTCAATTAATCCATGCTGCTGTTCAATTCATCCGTGCTGCTCTGTTACAAGTTACACGGCTGCTGCTGTTACTTTTTGATTTTTTTTTGGCAGAACTGCTGCTGTTACTTAATGAGCTGTTGTTGTTGCTCTATTAATTAATAGCTTCGGTTTTTTTGGGTTTATTATCGGTTAAACCGAAACCGAACCGTTTTATCGGTAACCGAAAAGTCGGTTACCGAATGTTTATCGGTTCGGTTTCGGTTCGCAAAGTAGTGAAACCGATAGTGTTCGGTTTGGTATCGGTATCGGTATTAGGGTATCGGTTCGGTTACCGAACCGATACCAGCCCTACATAAAAGTACACCACAAAAATGGAACAAAAGTAGATATCACTTAAACCAAAAGAAACAACATTCCTTCATGTTTATTGACGCACAGAAGGACAGACAAAAATTAGGGTTTAAATCTGATAGTGAGCAAACCCATCAATATGAAAAGGAATAATGAAGGGTTGGTCGAATGAGCATAGTATTAACAATAAAAAGGAAGTTAAACATTTATTTCTTTGTTTCCGATCACCACGGACACTTTCAATTCAGCCCATGAAAAAGAAAAAAAAAACTAAAAAGAAAATGAGAAAAAAACCTGGCCTGAAATTGTTGTCGACGATCAACCACCCACAGTTCAAAGATCCTTCCAGATCCTCCATGGTCTCTGTTTTCAACTCAACCTCATCTTCTCATCCTAGTCATTGAGAAATGACTGTCCACTCGCCTAGCAAAGTTTCTGGTCACCATAAGTAAGAGATTGAATTAAAGAAAACATAAAAAAATAAATATTAAATTAATTATACACATGAGACAATTATACAACTAATTCCAGTGATGTTATGGTCTCAATAACACAATTCGTCCTGATCTGTTGTTCACCACACGGTCCTGCCGTTCACACCGTCTAATACTTAAGTGCCACCTCACCAGAGATAGTCGACGCGTCTTATTTTTTTTAGATATATCATCCACACAGACGACTTTTGGAATCGTTTTTCATATATAACTATTGTTCTTTATTCGCCTACAACATTCATTGGGAAGATTAACATATATTCCAAAATGTTATCCAAGCCATGATAAGTAAATGATAAAACAAGAAATGAGAGTAATAAGTTAAGCAAGAACTGTAGAAACATTAATAATTCACTTCTTTGATTTTTCCAGTGGCTGGTTCAACGTGAGTACATACAAATGCATCTAGTCTTAACTAAAAGAGAGCACCAATCATAGGAAAATGTCAAGCATATTGACCTTTTACAACATGTCAATCTCTAAACAATCCACTGTCAGAAGTATAAAAATAAATCAAAAATGTCGAGAAAATTAAAACATCATTTTCTCAGGGGACGTCAATATAATGAAGTTAATAGGGCACAATAGTTCATAAGTCTCCCTGTACATGCCATGTGGCCCTCCGGAAAATTTTCAATATGGGAACAATGTAGCGAGTAAAAGAATTCCTTGGTTATGGAGGATATCGTTAGAAAAACAGCAGTCTCAGCTCCTTGAGGGTCCTTAAAAGTGATGAATGCTGTTTAAGAGTGCTCACTCTCACAAAGCTATTAATGTATGTCATACCAGCTAACAACATAAGGAAATTCATAATCACATGGATGAAACATGAATGCAGAACTCAAAGTATATGAAAAGCTAAACTGAAATGAAAATAGCTGCTTAACCTTTTCATCTCCACATATTCAATTATCTTGGAAAACAAAAAGAATTCCTTGATTTCCTATTCGGAAGCACCCATTGAAACATTGCTCACTTTCACAGCCCTGGAATCAAATGTGCAAAATTTCAATTAAATGTATAAATGATCTCTTTCCAAATTCAACTTTTCTACTTCAGATACAGTTACGAAAGGCCAGAAATCAACCACATGCAAGATTTTTTTACAAAAGGCTGCAAGACTGTAATGATTACTAACATGAGTAAAAAAAAATAGTTTATAAACCTGCACAATTTATTACTAATGTGATAAGTTTCAGAAGATTTTAACAAAACAATAATGTAATCTATTCTATTATGTTGGACCATTATCTAGCCCAATTGTACATTAAAAACAACAGCTCATCAAAATACATTACAAAATAGCAGTAAATAAATTTGGGGCTCAAGAAAAAGTACTCCCTGTAGTTTAGTTGAAAAGCATGAGAGGCAACATAATTCCGTTAACATCCATAAGCCCATAAAAAGAATCCTGAAAAACGAACTGAAAAGACCTTGAACAAACTAAATTGAAATCGAAAATTTGCTCACAAAAAAATATGGCATAAATCAAACCTGAAACTCATAGAATTGTGAAGCATAAGCTGGATCATGCCATTAACCATCCACACTCCAACGCCAAGAATCNCTTCTTGCATGGGCACAAAAAAACATAATTTTTTCAGAACCCATATGCAAACAAATGAAACAATTTCTTACCTAATTTGATCGACAACCTCATACGAAGAAAAATCGTAGAATATGAGAGGATATGAATGGGCGAAAAAAGTTGGGCATAAAAGTGGATCTGCATACTGAGCGGCCGATGCTATTTTTTTCTGTGTAAGACGACTGCGTATTGAATGTAACTATTTGAGCGAAAAGAAAAGGCCGAAGGAATTGGAAAAAAAATGCAATGAAGGAGGATAAATCGTGCACTACACACACAGCTATATGCAACATATAAATCAAAATCAAAACATAACCCTGCTTCAAAAAAAAACAAAAAAACAAAAAAACAAAATGGCAAACCAACATAAAATAAGCAATTAAAGAAAATCACAAGAAAAGAAGCCTGATGCAGCTAGTCGTGGAAAAAAATGAACAATTACGCTATAAAACCCCTAATTAGCTCTCAAAAAAAAATTGAGGAGAAGAATTTTAGGGATACATACCCTGGTTTCGCGGGCTTTTTTGAGGAATCTCTTGACCAGGTCGCTTTGAAGGAAAGGCGGCGGGTCTGACCACTGAGGAAGGCGATGGAGATCAGCCAGACGCTAAATCAGCCGTCAAATGACTTGGTGTTCGGGTTTTCGCGCTTTTGGAGGCGCCGGACCATGGAGAGCTGAAACTGGAGATGAAGTAGTCCGCCCACCTCGCGTGCTGGCCGATGGTGGCGTCCTTGGTGGAGGTTTTATACGCCTTTTACATAGTGTTTGGTTGGGGGGTTTTAGAGTGGAGGGGAGGGAAGGGAGAGAAAATTTGATGATTCACTTGGTTTAATTTTTTAAGGGGGAGGGAAAGGAAAATTTGGGATTAAAATCCCTCCAAATAGTAAAAATGACTCCCTCTAAAATTGGGAGGATTTGGAGGAGAAAGAAAATGTGAGGAAATAAATTTATTTTTTTATCTTTAGTATTAAGATTATTTTATTATTTTATTTCTTATATTATTAAGGGTAAAATAGTCAATTATATATTATTTTTTCTTTCTTTTCATTTTCTAACCAAACAAGGTTTATCATTTTCCCTCACCTCCCCTCCTACAAAATCTCTCCAAACAAGGTAATTATTTTACATCCCCTCCCCTCACCTTTCTTCCCTTCCATTAAAATTCCCTCCCTTTCCCTCCGTTGAACCAAACATACTTTTAGTGTTTCATATCGTGAGTAGGTCCGCTGTTTCAGATACAACAGAGTGAGTTGAGAAGATATGAGCGGGAGGAAGGATCTGGAGTCCGAGAAGTCTGATTATAGCCTCTCTCTCGAATAAAAGAAAAAACATCGATTGACATGATAGAAAAAAAAAATTCAATGACCAAAAACCTTGCGTGTTTGCGGAAATTCCGCCGACAAAAAAAAAAACTTTGTCATACTTCAATGATAAAATGGCCTCCAAAACCTGTTCTAAATGAGGTTATTTTAGTCATTTTCAACCAGTTGAGCTTCAGCCACATTTTGTGCCAGTGTCGATGCAAAAAATAAAAAAAAATTATTGTTTATGAAGTGAGCAATAAACAGACGTCGAGAGCATCCACGTGTCAAGCAACCACGTACCCTCCAGTTTTTTTATTATAAAAGTGAGCAATAAACAGACGTTGAGAGCACCCACGTGTCAAGCAACCACGTACCCTCCAGTTTTTTTATATAATAATAATATATACTAGCAGTCTCCCGCTGTGCGATGCACAGCCGGCCCAGTGATTACATTATTTGATTAGCATCCATATGCAAAAATTTTAATAACTCACATAGCAACAACCATTCTTATATTTATGCAAACACCAAAATATTACACCAAAATATGTTTGTTCGAAGTCTTGAAGGTATATACACATACCATACACAAACCATACACAGATAGATTGCAACCATTTGTGCCACATGTATTTTCTAATGTGTGGCTAAATGAAAATGCAAAATATTAATGCTCATTAAGCACTATAAGCTTAATCAGCAATAATATTTCTAAGATAATGCCACTACGCAAAATAGTTGGGGTTCATTGTTATCTCCCTTACAAAAGCAAATGACTAAAAATATAATGTGCAAGTTAAAGATCCTAAAAACGTGGTTTTTACGGATTGAAATCTTTTTCTTCCACATTTGAAGTGCCGATATGCTGTTTTGACGATTTTTCCTGGTTGGTTTCACCTTTGGAATCACTTGGGCCGCTGAAGATTAGTTTTCGCTTGGTGGAGCTTCCTGCTGATTGTTTTTCTACTTCTCTTTCCATTCTGGAGTAAGGCGAATCATCACCTGCAAATGGAATTTGGCTACCAGTTGGTGTTATCAGGTGCTCATCTGCCGCAACTTGGTTTTCCTAGTCAGTAGATGTGCATTTAGAAATGAAAATGAATTGGACTTTACAAAAATTGCATGAATTTTAATGTGTACTATTCTTGCATGTTGCCTTGCTTCTCCATGAATCTCATCTTCTAAGTATAGTTTCACTATGGTGTATTTGTCCATAGGATATCCATAATCTGACTCATAATGCCTAACGAACCATGTGATAGTTTTCTTCCAGAAGCCTGTTACGATTTCTGACAGCAAATTGTTGCCCTAGTAAAGTGGTGATAAACAGGTTGTTAGAAAATCAGCAATACAAATGATCAAATGTGTTGGTAGCATTTGTTCACTCAAATATGATGTGAACCTCTTTCTCCGCCTCATATATTTGTAATGCAGTAAATGGAATCAACTTTTCAGCATCTTCAGCATAAATGAGTGCATTTAATACTCCTGTTCCGTCATTAATAGCCACAACAAACCGACATCTACAGAAATTATATTTAAATTCATTAGTAATATGAACAGGAATGAAAGACTTTAAAATTGTAACTTATTAGAAGCTATAGCATAGTTTTACCTCGGCTCTACATTGGTTTGTTCTTGACATATTGTGCATTTCACTTCCCAACCAACTGGAACTTCAAGCTTAGTGTGACTGTCCACATGCACTGAACCATAAGGATTTCTGGTTTGTGACCATGGTGACCTGATCTTGCACCCATGTAGCTTTCACTTATAATAAGGTAATAATATATTTCAGTTTCTCGACATATAAATATACAATAATATTTACTTTGAATATAATGTTGTTGACATTAACTGTTTTATTAAGTGAACGCAAAGCTGCTTGAACTGTGACAACATGATTGTCATTTGGTGGTGGCGAAAGGACAGAGGCATTCATGAATGCTTTGTTTTCCATTAGATGTGCAACTTCAGCTTTGTGTTCTATGTACCTGTAATTATAATGTGCATCATATTAGATTTATTTCCAGTAGTTGAAAAATAAACCTGTATGTTTACCATTGTTTTAAATTAACTGCTTCTTGCATAGGTGGGTTGATTAGAATGCAGGTCGGCAACCTTGTCGTTAGAGATAAACCTGTGTGTGAATGAATGATGTTAAAGGTACATTATTTTAAAATAAATCGATAATGAAACAAAGATAGGTATGAATATGGGGAAAACTTACAGTTGAAAGTTGTGACTTTGATCCTCATTGCGAGCACGATATTTCCTGTTGGGATTGTTGATGATAGTTGGACACCCTCATTTGCTTCAAACTCGTTCCATAGAGTGAACAACATTGGTCTTTTCCTGTAACACATAAATTAAATTATCTTATTTAAAAAATTTATTTATTTATTTATTTTCCACAAAAGCACACAGTGGGAAACATATCAACACACTAACTCTTCATTGACAATGACTATATCCCTTGTTCTTGACTTTCCAGTTCCTTTGACAGGTAAGGCATGCACGACGACACATGATATCTAAAAGAAAAAATGTCATAGTAAAATGGTTATTATTTTTGAGATAAGTACTCCCTATACGATCTCATTTCTGTTTATTTTCCAAAGAACGGGTTTAAAAGTTTCAATCCACTACAACGTCCAGAGGTTCATATTTACGAATGTGTAGATACTCTAATTCCAGAAATATACTCTTTGAAACCCTATTTAGTTATCCTAATCCTCCTCGCCCAGACCTATCTCGCCGCCAATGGAGAGTCACCCCCGCTTCGAGATCTTCTCCCCCTTCGACTCCCTCCTCCCGCCGCTTGAACCGTCCACTGTCTGCACCATCCACCGCTAGATTTGCCGCCCAATTTACAGTCTGAGATGAGTGATTTCTCATTTTTCTGTGGTGTGCTTGCTTATGGCTCTATTTTCTTTCCACTTATTCATCTCTGGTGATTTTTTTCCACTGTGTCCTAAATTTCAATTTTCGTCGAGGGCTTGTTGAAAAATCTATATTATCTATCTTAAATTCCATTTTTTTTTTTTTGTTGTTGTGGAGGTTTGATCTTAGATCTATGAGTTGCTGGATTTAAGATCTGAATTACTCCGGCGAAAAGTTCCAGCGGGACCTTCGTTCACCTCCTGCAACGGCACCTTCACATTTGACGGCGGATGAGTGTGCGTGCGACGAAAGAAGCACGTGGAAAACGGACCGTCGCATTGTGCGGAACTGGATTCGTCGCCATGGTTTATTCGAGTTAATTTGAAAGTTCTTTGATAGGAGTTTGTGTTAATATGATGTTATCTTGAGTTGATTTTTGTTAAATTATTTTCAAAAAAGTTATTTGAATGTAGTTTTGTCACAGGTTAATTTGATGTTCATTGATTGTATATTTTTGTCTTATCTATGGTGATGTTTATCTTGAGCTGATTGTTTTAGTTATTGATTGTATTTTTTTGTCTTATCTATGGTTTATAGTGAGTTTATTTTATTTATTTATTTTGTTTGTCTATTGAAATTTTTATGAATTAATAAAAAATTAGATAATAAACATAAGATAAACTGAAAATTAATTTTTAATAAAGTATAGAGATACTGCAATAAATTTAAGATAAGCTGAAAGTAATCTAAAAGAATTCATAGTATGAAGATAATGAGGCTTTGGAGAACAGTGGAATTAGTTTAAACCAAAAAGACTTCGGGAGACATAAGTGAAATTAGTTTAGATGTCTCGTAATGAGGGAAAAGTTTTTTGAAAAGACAACAAATGTGTCTTTAAGCCATTATTTTTTTCATTTTTGGTAATCTTTTTAAAAGTGTAATGAAGGCATTCTATGAGCATTGTATTGATATACTAACTTTGCAAATTTTCTGTGTCAGCAAATTGGTATAAATTCTGGAATTGTTGGATTTCTATGTGGCATGGAAATTGTGGCGGCATTGGTTCTTCGGAAGCTTCCATTAAGGTGATTTTTTTAAGGGTCCACTTGTATGTATAGTCCCTAACTTGATATCTTGGATCAACTGGACCGACAATAGCATTGGAGACATAATACCGCTTGTACGGCACCAGCCTTTCTGAAACCACGTCCAAATCAGTGGAATTGACAACTGCAGATACTTTTGTTCCCTGCTCGTTTGTTAAGAATGAAACATTCACACTATATAATTTTAAACTTTAGTTATATGAAAACTTTAAATAAAACAAAATTATTTATCTATTCACCTAAACACAGAGGCATAAAATGTATATTGTATAATTTACTTACTTCTGAGTCTGTGAGCAAATATCTTCTGTATGGGAGATTTTTTGGTGGCTTGCTAATTTGGATATGACTCTTCTCCACAACCTGAACAATTGCGGTCCATGCTGATGTTTTGTCATCAATTTCTTTAATTTGGACAAATTTCCTCGACATCTTGATCTACATAAAATAAATATTAATTATATCAAATTTTAATTATAGATATGATAACCATATAAAAACATAAAAGATGGACTTTTAGAGCGAACTGAAATTACTTTGATCTGCCTTTGCCATTTCTAAAACTTCTTTATAAACAATATTTTTTGTGCGCTTTACGCTGTCCTTGGTAAAAAAAGCAGATCTTATTAACATTTTAACATTTGCAGCTGTACGTGCACGCGATAATGCAACATACAATTGTCCATACGAAAATACTGGTTCTTTGAGGTAAATTCCAACAACATCTATTGTCTGCCCTTGTGCTTTATTAATAGTCATTGCAAATGATAATCGCACAGGAAATTGAGTTCTTTCATATGGGACATGATATTGTTCATCCTTTGATGGTTCAAGTGGAATTCTATGAATGAACACTTCTTTTCTAGCAAAATCACCAACCATGATTTGAGCATGAATGACATTTTTTGTTAATTTTTTGCATATAAGTCTTGTCCCATTGCGTAAACCTTCAGTAGGGTCTAAGTTATGCAAAAGAATTATTGGCGCATTTTTTTTCAAAATTAGCCTATGTGATTGTAAGCCATTCGGTGTTAAAGAATTAATTAGATCTTCATATTGACCCTTATGTTGGTGGTTCAAAACTTCATCGAAACTAAAATACTCAACTAAGTCTCCTGGAAATCTATCTATGAGTATGTTATTTATTTCATCGACAAAAGAATTTTTAGTAGACAAAATTGCTTTATTTGTTGTGCACAATGTGTCTGCATGCATACTAAAGTTTGGGAAAATAGACTCTATTAGGTCAATTAAGTCTGCCTCAGATTCATTATTATAAAGAAATAAATTATCAGGAATTTGAACACTATCATTCTCATCGGTTGGCTCAACTCCATCCCTGATTCTAAGCAAAAAGTCTGTGAAGTCTGGATCATAGCGTGCCCTCATATTTTCTGTTAGCTGAAGTTTTTCAAGATAGGGCCAAAGTGGTGATTTAATAAACATGAATCTATTGTATCAAGCCTACTACCCTTAAGAATGACGGGCAGAATTTGACGAAAATCACCACCAAACCCTATAACTTTGCCTCCAAATATTTCTTTTGAGTCTAACATAACTTGCAAAAGCTTATGCAAAGATTCAATTGCTGATCTCTTTGCCATGGGTGCTTCATCCCAAATTATCAATTTACATTCCCTCAACAAAATTGCCAGGCTGCTTTGTTTACTTACCTTGCATCCTTTTTGGTTTTCGCATATTTGAAGAGGCAGTTTAAATCTAGAATGAGTTGTTCTAGCCCCAGGCAAAATTGATGCAGCTATTCCTGAAGTTACTGTTGCTAATGCAATGTATCCCTTTGACCTAACATTAGCTAATAGAGCTCTATACAAAAATGATTTTCCCGTCCCTCCTGGACCATCAATAAAAAAAGGCCCCTCCTTTATTTTCATATATGCGACTCTGTATGATATCAAAAGCATGTTTCTGTTTTTCGTTTAATAAATTTATGGCATTTAAATCCTCAACAGTAACGTTAATATTTCTTTCATATTCTTAATTCTCTTGTATTAAAAGAAATATCAAAGCCTGAAAATTCATCATCTAAAATGCCAAATGAACGAATGTCTTTGCCCATCGACATAAAAAATTCAGCAATTTGTTGCAAAACCTTTTTCCTTATTTCAGTTGGACTCATTGTTTGTTGTCTATAAAAATCTTCTGATAAAGCTGCTTCATATTTTAACCATAAGTCCTTGGGACTATTTGGGCATGTAAATACTAATATGTTAGCAAAGAGTCTACGCAATTCATATGGCATTCTAAATTGTGAAGCCTCTTCTAAACATAAATCTTGACTATTGTCATCTTTAAGTAAACTTCTCATTAAAGCTGCCTCGCGAAAACTGGTTGCTTTCTTACCATTAAATATTTTTAAATCTTCAAAAGATTTTGGACAACGAACTTTAAGTAAAAGCAATCACAAGTAATACCTCTCACCTTCTGCTGGATGTGCCGATACTATTCGACCTATGGTTTCTCCACGCTTACGCATTTTCCAACGTTTCTCATTTTTTATCCAGAAATAATATTGAGGAAACTCTATATATGTAAGATTTAGTTCTTGTGCGACGAGGTACTGAACATACAGCGTTGCGTTCACACTAGAATTGGTTAATTACGGTACCATCCCTAGTGTGAACGCAACGCTGTATGTTCAGTACCTCTTTGTCAGTTCTATTAATACAGAAATGTTCTGTCAGCATCGTTTTATCATTATTAGGATTCTTGACAATGTTTCTTAATTTGTCACGACCCTTATAGCTCACTCTTTGGTAGTTTTCTAAATGTAGTTGTAAATTAATAACTGCTGGTTTTATTTCACCCATAGAAAATCGATATATTCTCCAGGCTGCTTTTGGTGGAGAAATCCAACGTGCAGCTGTAAATTATTGTATCTCGTCTATTGCACTCTCTGGTTTTTCTGAATTAACATGAAAGGCTATTCTACCATGACCCTTGCAAATATATTTATATATATATATATATATATAT